GTGAAAAAATTGAAGAACGAAGAGGTAAAGCCTTATGAACCTCCCGCACCATTCCCTCAAAGGTTAATGAAGCCCATGGAAGACCCAAACTTCAAGAAATTTGGGAATATCTTCAAGCAACTTCAGATTAACATACCCTTGGCGGAGGCACTTGAACAGATGCCTACATATGCTAAATTCTTAAGGGAGTTGCTGACAAAGAAGCGGAAATGGGCTGATCTAGAGAAGGTAACCCTTACTTCTGAATGTAGTGCTGTGATTCAAAATAAATTACCAGAAAAGAGGGATGATCCAGGCAGTTTCACCATTCCATGTGTCATTGGAGGTACAGAGTTCGATAAATCACTATGCGATCTAGGAGCAACATTAATTTGATGCCATACTCAGTATACAAGAAATTGGGATTGGGAGATGTTCTTAAGCATACTCGAATCACTCTCCAATTGGCCGATCGATCAGTGAAAATTCCAAAAGGAGTGGTGGAGAATGTATTGGTGAAGGTTGGGAAGTTTATTCTCCCAACAGATTTTGTGATTCTGGAGATGGAAGAAGATCGGGGAGTGCCTCTCATACTTGGTAGACCCTTTCTAGCCACTGGAGATGCACTCATCGATGTTGGGAGAGGCAAACTGACATTCCGAGTAGGTAAGGAGGAGGAAATTTTTAATGTCTTTCAAGTTGATCATAATCACGATGCATTTGATGACTTTGAAAGTGGAGCTCGAGAAAGGAAAAATTCGTCTTCCTGTGATAGTGGACCACCCAAAGAACTATCACATGTCCTAGCAGCTCAAAGTATGAAATCAAAGCAAGGGCAGAAATCCTTGCCAGGTCACCTCAAGTGTAGATATTTGGGTAAGGATTTCAATCTTCCTGTTATTATTCCTTCTTCACTGACATTGAAATAGGAAGAGTAATTGCTTGAGGCACTGCAATACCACTTGCGCCTCACTAAAGGGTCCAACATGCCAGCTAAGAAGGTCATACCGAATTTTCGCACACCTGGCCCTGCAGAGGTGACTCATATGTTGGATGGAGGTTATCGTTCTATCATTGCTCGGGAGGGTATTCTGGATACCTTTCCATACCCATTGGTTGAAAGCTCCATGAACGTCAGGCTGAGGACGTTAAACAAGCGCTTCTTGGGAGGCAACCCCAGGTAAGTTTTCTTTTCTTTATTTTTCTTTTTTGTTGTGTCAAACTCGTGCATGTTTAGATTATGAGTTGAACATTAGGGACAATGTTCCATCCTGAGTGTGGGGTGGTGAGTGTTAGTGTTTGTTTGTCCCTATTGCATGTGGTAAAACAAAAAAAAAACTGTCATTTGCCTGTGCAAAAAGCAGTCTGCCTGTGCAAAGCTAATGGCTAAAAAACACCTAAAAATCAAAAAAATTAAAAACAAAACCTTGTACTCTTGTGGTAACATGATGTAAATGACCTTGATGCCTTGAAAATGAGTTTGTGCTTGAATGAAATCATCAAAATCACCCCACTAGTGTTGAATTGCAAAGTTCTTCACAATGAGCTTGAATGTTTTGACTGACTTGATATGTTTTGAATGAGCAAATTCTTTTAGCAACATTCTCTTTTGTGAGGATAGTGTAACGACTTTTGGTGAAGTAGTTAGGTGGAGAACATTGACCATTCGACATGTTTGGATACCGTGCTTACTTGCTTTTGTTGTGAGCTTTTGACTTTGCATTGAGTCTCTCTGTTTTGAATGTTTTATGAAGTGGTGAACTGTATCTTTATAAAAGAAAACACTACCTGACAAGAAAAATATAAGAAAGTTGCCATAACAATTAAAGTATGGGTAAAATACCAAAATCGTGTGAGGCAATCACTCATTGCACATGGGGATTAGGAAAGATTCAATTGAGAATCGGTTTGTGACCGTACGATGTTGCTTATCAAGTACGATCCTCAGTAGAGTGAAGTGCCATTAGAGGGTGCAATGACCCTCCACACAGACCGAGGAAAAGGAGTTAAAAGAAGCCCTTATGCGAGTGCTAAAAAGCAGAAATTGCTCTTGCTCGGTCACCGGTAGTAAGAAACAAATCCCACTTGTACTAAATACGACCTCTCGGCAAGCAAAAGCAGAAAGAGAGAAAACCTCTCCTTGTCATAAAAGGTAGTGATGTGCTTAGAGTAAAATCATGTTTGCGAAAGGCCTCCCCCATTAGTTTTTGAGACTCATGCATAATTAATTGCTTATGATTGGTGTGAGTAAGCCAGATTGTCCCCACGAGATATGCACCTCACTGATGTGGTTAGATTCTCCTAATAATTGTTGCACCATAAGTTGTTAACCACCCACTACCGACGATCGAAATTGAGTGTTGCTACTTGAGTTTTTAATTGATTTGAGTCAGTCAATGGTTAAGGGTTGCAAAGACCTTGATTGTGGGGTGAGAGGTATGACCATTAAAGCACAACTTGTCCGTTGAGAAAGAAACTACTGATTACACCAAGAGTACAAGGAAATTTTGTGTTTTGCTTTGAGTGTTTGAGTATTGAGTCTGTAATGTGCCATTGGTATGGATGGTTATGTGTTTGTGTCTTTTGAGTCGTTGCTTAGTGACAATCAACAATTGAGTGTGGGGTTGTGATAATCGGCTTTAATATGTCTGATTCTTGAACTGTATGTAATTATCCCTTGGTATGTTTAAGCCGATTGGTGCTATTTTAGGGCTCCCTAACCCGAGAATGTTTGAAAACCATTACTGGCTAGTGCCATAAGTTTGATGTATTACAGGTGAAGAAAAAACGAAAAAAAAGTTGCACCGGCAAACAATTCTCGAATCACTTGAACTAGGAGGAGCAGTGGGCCTAAATGAGCCGGAAGGCAGCATGCATTGGGCCAAAGCCCATTCTATTTCCTTTCTCCAGAGCTGGCGGCGGAAGCAATTAGCTAGGGGGGTTTGATTATTTTGGACGGAATTATTATTGGGACAGGGGATAATTAAAGGAGGAAGGAAAGTACTGGCGGGGGGATTTTCTTTGGGGAGAGCAAAAAGGACGGAAGCTTTGAGGAGGAGGCCATTCTTTTGATTTACTGGGACAAAGAGGAGAAGCGGGCAGTGGAATTAATTGCAGGAGGGATCTTCTAATTCGAAGCAACAATTGGACGCGAATTCTTTGGGAGAAAGAAAGCGAAGGGCGCAGCGCAGCAATTATTCAACAGGCGATTCACAAATCGGCGATCCAGTTTTCCAAGGCTGTCCGAGCTAAGTTCAACGAGAGCGATTAGTTGGTGGGATTCTCTGAACTGAACTAGTTTTGTATTGTTGATTTAGAACATGATGAACAAAATCCTATCGATTTATCTCAATTTCGTCATGAACTAAACCCCGATTTCTGGGGGAAACACCATAGGATGTAGCTATTTCTTGATTTGATGGATTGATTCATGATTCTTTTCTTCCAATCTCTATTGCATGAAATTTATTAATGCTTTGTGTTGACTGGCCACCAATACAATGAATCGTAGTTAATTAGGTTATTAGCGACAGTGAAACCCTAATAACTGAAAATATTTCATGTGACATAGTAACTTATCGAAGCGACACTGGATTAAATAAGGTGCTATGCGGTCTTAAATAGGATATCGATCTTCAGACTAAATAATTAACTCATTGAGCTACGATAGTAGGATTTGAATTAATTGTTTAGTACGTAGTAATTCCCGACAGGGATAGCTAGCACATTCGTGATATCCTGGCTGTAGAGGTATGGATTAAATTGATTAAAATATGTGAATTAATCTCGATAGGATAGGTAGTGAATCCCGGTGTTTCTCCCAGAGCTTTCTCCATTGAATTTCTCCCGACCATTTTACTTTGCTTAATTAGTTTATTTTGATTTTAGATAATTAGTCTCATTAAACCATTTTCAGCTATAGTTTGCTCTATAAAATGATATAATAAAAGGTTGTACCAGTCCCTGAGAGACGATACCCGGACTTTTCGGTTTTACTACAAGATAGGAATTGAAGCTATACGCTTTTGCCCTACCAACCTTCTTCAAAGCTTGTTCAAGATATTCAATTTTCCGCCTAGGATCTAATATGACTGCCATATAACACAATCGATTCATCTTGGAATTCTCCAACTCTTCTTCAAACCAATACTTGGCAAGTTTGAACTTGATTCTCTCATCCATGTAACACACCTCAAAATCTGTACTATCAACCTACTCAGAAATCATAGTATACATTTCACATATCTTATCAAGCAAGAGGTGTAAAGTCACATATGAAGTCTCAAAAACTCGAACAGTCAAATCATAGAAGAGCTTCAGGTGATCAATCAACTATCCTACACAAGACCAATCATCAGAAGTTGGGATACCAAGGCTTTCCTTTCCACATTTTTTTTTCATTGAGATGTTTCTTGAATTTTTTCTCATTTCTGGCTAACGTCTGAAATGCTTTCCCAAATGGTTTTGCAAATTCCAACATCAGATACGTTAAGTTCCACCTTGTAGCTACATCCAACGAAATGAATTTCTTCGACACTATCTTTTCAAACTCAATGCAATATTTGAAATTTCTGCTCCTACTTGGTGCAGATTTAACCCACTTCACAGACTATCTCACTCGCTCCACATATATACCAGTTTCTTTAAGCCCATCATTCACAACCAAATTAATAATGTGAGCCACACACCTCATCTGCAAATACTTTCCATCCAAAATATCTGATCCCCACGCTTTCAATTGTTCCCTCATATGGATAGCAACCACATCGTTAACACTAGCATTGTCCATTATGATACAAAACGCCTTCCTAATGCCCCACTCCACCAAACAACTAGCCAATGGTTTTCCTATATCATTTCCAGAATGTTTTGTAACTTGGACAAAGTTAATAATTCTTTTATGCAGCTTCCAATCTCTAACAATGAAATGAGCAGTAATGCACATATAATTGAGATTGGACAAAGAAGTCCAAGTATCAGTGATGAGCGATACCATCCCTAAACACTTAGTCTTGAAATAGTCCTTCAACAAGTCTCTATTTTCAAAGAATACCTTGATACAATCCTCTCTAACAGTCTGACGGCTAGGTAACACAAACATTGGGCAAACACGAGACATGAAATGTTTGAACCCTTCTCTATTATCATCAACCAACAAACAATACATCCAAGCTCCAAAAACAGATTTCAGTTTCCCACAAAGAAGACGGGAAGTGGACTCTGGAGCAATATCATCAAGAGCAACAGAAAAAGGAGCTTATTGGGATGCCATATGTGAGGTATGGGAAGAACGAGAGCTTGCTGTTGTTTTAGGTTAGAACTTAAATGGATAACAAACCCATAATTCCAAATGGTCGCCGAAACTGGAATAGAGGGTGGACGTCTTAGGTTAGAACCTCAGTGTACGTCCAAACCTACCAAACACAAACAAAGTTGATTTGATGGTGAGCCAAGGAAAGCAGCACAGATGGGTAGGTCGTATTTTTACCTCGGAAGCGACTCGGTGGGATTCCATAGCTTCCGGAGACCAGAGGCGACGGTAGAAGAGTTGGGTTGCTGCCTTGTTGGGGAAAGATTGGATCTGAAGACGAAGAACAATGCTTGAGCTTTGAACCCAGATCGATCTCGAGTCGAAGGGATGATTTCGTCGGCGAAAATGACAAAGTGCTTTGGCGAAGGGATGGATGGCGAAGTCGGAACTCGGAAGTCTCGAAGTTCATCTCCTCCGTCGAACCCAGAATGGCAGCAACCGCAATCCCTTATGTTGGGCAAATCTTCGAGCTCCCGAAGAAGTGACTGGTTTGGTCGAAGAGATGGGTTGCTGGAGAAAGATTGGAAGTCGGATGCGAAGTCTCGAAGTCAAAGGGTTAAGACTTAGGGTTCAGACTTGAGAAACAGATCGAATTGCAAAACGGTGTCCAGACTCCAGAGTATCAATTTCGGGTTTTCTAGTTTTCTTTTGGGTTTCGAATTTCGGTTAATCGAAACCGGAATAGTAGCGTCTTTGGGTTAAAACCAAAAACCCGAAACTGTGATGGTTGTTAGCAATTCGGTTTTGGTTAAACCCGAACCCGAACTGACAGGCCTACTCCTGCTCCTCCTCTTCCTACTTCAACAAAATACCCAAAGTAGTGAAATTCAATCAACCACCAATCGAAGAACTACAAAAAGGCAAACCAACATGAGTGACCGCCACAAATCTCACAAAGAGTATATTATGCAAACCATTAGAGCAATGAGCATCCCAACCCAGATTATGCAAATCATCAGTAGAAGCGCAAAGATTGAAAATTTTGGATTGAACCTTAGAGATAGGGATTGAAGGATATACCAGATTGTAAGAATCGCAGAAGAGAGGCAAGATCGATTAGATGTGAGGATCGAAAACTACAACTGACATGCGAAAGCGCGAAAAAAGCCGAATGAGTAAGTGTGTTAGAGCGAGAGAGAGAGAGAGAGAAGCTATGCGATCTGACTATTCCTTCAACTATAATAATTGAAGCGTGAGGCAGAATAAGAACATAAATTAGCGGCAGAAGAGACAACCGGCGACGACAACGACGAAGCAAAATTGAGGGATGTCAAATAGGATTGTCGGCTGGGATTGAAGCATCTTGGGCTTTCCTAGCTGATGGCGTCGTCTTCTTGCCGAAAGTTTCATATCAGTGGGGTTCGTAGATCTAGGTTAGGTCAGATGAGAGATGGAGTAGGGTCTGTTCATGGGTTGGGTTGGGCAAGATGACCTGGTGGGTCAGGTTTGCTAATCTGGCGGGTTAAAATAGGGTGAGTCAACACTTTTGTTAGCCAAGTCAGCAAATGACAGACGGTGTTGATGGAGACTAGCGAAGAGTGAACAAACATGGATTGTTTTGACTAATTAGAGTGCCCAACATTCGAACTAATTATTTATAGTGACTAAACATGAGGCATTTTAGTAAACCCAGTGCCCAAACTTGCAATTTATCTCTACAAAAATAAATTCTTTTATAATAACACAAAGGAAAAATATTTTATATTTGACAATAGAGATAACAGAATGAGTAATTGAGTCTAAAGAATTAAAAGATCAAATTTTGTCAAGGTCCGTCCGACGTTACTACGGGTCGGATAATACTCGACCTAGCATGGGTCACTCCAGGTAATACTCAGCAGAGCAGGTTCAAATTATCATCCCACTATACATGATACATGTAGTTGTTGGGTGCATGAGTACCACGAGTTGCATGAACCAACATCCTACATTCGACGCCGACTGAAAACCATGGATAGTATTGGTGATTTGACAAGTATAGTAGCTGGAATCCGACCTCCGCACGACAATAACAATAGCAGGTGATAAGAAGCTACTTTCAACTTCCTTTTGTAGGAGAGGAGAAAGACAGACTTGGAGAGATAGGCAAAATCACAAAGGGATTTAGGTGATGTTGGCTAAGGACTCTTAACGATCAAAGATCTATAATCAGAAAGCCCAATAATTAAAGAGGAGGCTGATCAGGCCTAAGAAGACCACAACCCACTTGAGCATGATTCATGAATCTCCCACGAGGCAGTCAGGAAGAATGCACAGGTTTACTAGATTGCATCGAGACAATCACCTACACGCATAAGAGCGCATTGGGATAATCAACACACTTTGGGAGAACCACCTACCTGCTATAGACTCTACGAGGACGATGCAGACAACATTCAATACTATATCAAGCATTCCAGATACCGATTGGCGGAACTCATCTAGACTCCCGACAAAGCATTAGATGCTCTCCATCACCATCGAACAATATAAAGAAATAACCACTCGATCGATCATTTATGATAACTTCTAACTAACTGATTTGATGCAATTGTAACAAGGGGTCAATTTCACCTCTGCCTAAGGCCACTATCATATTTTGTTAGGGTCCTGCACAGTCACTTACTTAGGTGGTGAGTGACGAGTTTTATGAGGTTGAACACGTAAATGTGAAAGTTGAGGTTCCTCCGGAGTTGAAGTTCCCCTTCGTTTTACATAAAACTAAATCAAAAGCAATGCATGAAAGAAAAGCTATACCCCTGGTAGGTGAAACAAGCAGGAGGACGAGGCGTTGCACATGCAAGCTCCCCGCAAATTATAAACGGATCAGTCCAAAATCGCATTTTCACGATTTAGAACGGGAGCGGTCAAGGCAGAACAACGAATTGGGTACCCTAAATTTTACCCTGTTGTGTATTATTACTGAAATCACATAGAGTTTATATAGAGTACAGAGACTGACTTCTATAATAACCCTAACAATAATACGACTCTGATAAGGAATAACTCTGCCCAATTACATAACAGTACTCGTAGTATAACATAATGCTACTCGTACAACATATACTCTAATAGTGGCCACTACTTCGATTTAGGTCCAAGATGTGGATCAGCCTAGTGATTTTATCAGTCTACAAGCACTAGAATTGACAACTTGGGATGTAAACGCATGTGCAAAATACCAAATTTTTTATTTACTTATGGCACCCACTTTCTTAAAGTATATTAATTAAGGTTAATAGAAACTTACCTATTTCAAAATAAGCACTTTCCAAACAAGTACTTCATGTATTCAAATTTTGTTTTCTTTTTATTCTGTACATCAACTTTTTCCTAATTTAATGTTCTCTGTAAAGCTTGATTTACTTTACATTTTACTTTACTTGTTCAAAAAAAAAAAAAATTTGGATTATGTAAAAAAATTCCGAGAAGGTAATAAGTGTGCAAACTATCTTGTGAACAGATGCCATCTGGTTCCTCTGGGTTTGTTTTCTTTATAGTTGTCAAATCGAACTCTTTGTAATTGCCTCATATAGTATTTTTAGGGGCATTCTGAATCCTGAATGCTTTTGAAAGAAAGATAGGATGCACTTGTATCTATTTGATAAAAAAAACAAAAAGAAGAACTCTAAGCGAATATGAAATACATAACTACAAGTTATGCATAACTTTAAGGTAAAAGAGAGTTTCAAATCAATTTTTTATACGAACAAAAAAACTGTAAATAATACAACTAAATATCTCATGAAGAATTCGATCCTGACTTATGATGAAAGCTGACGGCATTCAATCAATTTAAAATAGCTATTGTCCACTAGTTGGATTTAGGTCCAAGATGAGGATCCGCTTAGTGATTTTATCACTCTACAAGCACTAGAATTCACAACTTGGGATGTATCCGCATGTGCAAAATACCAAATATTTTATTTACTTATGGAACCCACTTTCTTAAAAGTATATTTATTAAAGTCAACATAAACTTACCAATTTCATCCTTTGTTTTTACGAAGTTATCTGTCTATCTACAGAGAGTGGATCCCATCAGTAACTTTATGGCGAGTAATCAAGAGTGAGTGCGGATCCCATGATTAAGAGGGGGTCCTTAGTCACTTGATTAAGCCCCTACTAGCCTTTAGATCTGGACACACCAATCTAATGGTTTTAAAATGAGAAGAGATTTTTATTGGTGATAGGGGTACTTTGGGTATTATGAAAAATTACGAAGTATAAAAATTGGACTTACAAACAGTATAAACCATACAAACATACAACTATACAAAATAGAACGACAAAACATACAACAGGTCTACAAACAATACAAAACATATGAAATATACAAACAATACAAACTATAATGACAAACAATACAAACCATACAAAATGAAAAGACAATCAGGTTGACTTTGTAGGCTCCATCCCTATATAGAGGGGTTGCATCTCAAAGATTAGGGTTGTTTTTTAGACATACAAACATTACAAACATGGTGGACAAAAATGACAAACTAAACCGACAAACCATACAAAATGGAAAAACAGTCAGATTGACTTTGGAAACTTCATCTCTATATAGAGAAATTTCATAAAAAAGTCAACCAGATTGTTTTTTAGACATAAAAAAACATTGCAAACCTGGTTGAGAAAAATGACGAACCTGGTGGACAAAATTAACAAAGCTTACAAACGTTACAAAAGAAACCGACAAACAATACAAAGCATACTAACCGTACAGAATACCAATCAAATCGAGAAACTTGTATTACAAACCAATGAATACAAATTTAAAAATCATAACATAAAAGTATACAGAATAGAAAGAAAAAAAAATTACAAATTACAATATATACAAAGTAGTTAAGAAATCTGTTGGAAGCAGAAATCTAGAGATGTGTGGTTGAGACTAGGCGACAAAAATTCTAGATTTTTTCACTTGATGGCTAACTTTAGCAGGAAGCTGAATACATTCGATCGTATTAAAGAGTATGGTCAGACTTTGGATGGTTTTCAGGAGGTGGCTCAAGGAATCTTAGACTACTAAACAACCCTTTTCCTGGAAGAGATTCCTGTCTGTCCCTTCCCTTCTCGCTATGGTGCTGCAACTATTTAGTGAGTCTGAGTGCATTTTCTCTATAGGGACTTTACAAAAGGGGAGATTTGGGAAGCCTAGTCCGATTGTGATGGGTGCAAGGCCCCGGGTTCGGACGGATTCTCTTTCGAGTTTTACAAGCGATGTTGGCCGTGGATTAGAGGGGACATTCTTAATGCTTTCAAAGAGTTCCACTTGTCGGGCCGTCTTCCAAAGATGGCTTCTCATTCATTCATTTGCTTAGTTCCCAAGAAAGATGCAATTGAGGATGTTAAGGACCTCAGACCTATTCGTTTGATAGGTAGTATTAACAAGTTGATAAACAAGGTCCTGACGTTTAGACTTGGGGCTGTTCTCCCTAATCTTGTCTCTAAATTCCAGCATGCATCAGTTTAAGGAAGGCAAATTTCTGAGGTAGGCCTCATTGCCAATGAAATTGTTGATTGCAGAAGGAAAAGCAGGAAGCCAGACCTTATGTTTAAATTGATAATTGAAAAGGCCTTCGATAATGTTAACTGGACTTGTTTACTTAAGGTTCTCTCTAACTTGAGGTTTCTTCAGCAATGGATTAGTTGGATTCAAGGATCAGTTTGTTCGCCCTACATATATATTTTAATCAATGGCGAAGCGAGCGGTTTCTTCCCAGCGAGCAAAGGACTCCGTCAAGGAGACCCCCTATCTCCGAGACTTTTTGTGTTCATCATGGATATTCTCTCTGCAATGATCTATAAACTCAAGGATGCATGCAAGATCGTTGGCTTTTTCATGGATGAGATTCATAAAATTGGAGAAGTTACTCATCTCCTTTTCGTAGATGACACATTGATTTTTTGTGATGATTCTCACGAGCAAGTGCTGAGCACAAGAGGTGTGCTTTTGGTCAAAGTAACGCAACAAACCAAACTCTCGAATGATAGTTGATTGATAAGAAACTTATTAAGACGAATCTGGAATCCTCACAGAAAAGCTTGACAAGGGTTCTCGAATTAGCATTGGAATCCACACAAAAATAACTCAAGGATTTGATTCTTGAGACACAACTCAAAGAACTCGAAGATTCGCGTAGGAGTAATTTTTTTTCATTCAACTAAAACTTGATTCTTTACAACGTGAAATTGAAAGCTATTTAAAGACAATACAAATCTAATAGAACTAGGAAACAATTAAGGTAAAAGTCTACACAAAAAGGACACAAAATTTGGATTTAAACTCTCTTTCTTCAAGCGCAAGTAAGCTGCCAGCAAACAGTCCAAAAGCAGCTTTCGTACTAAATTCCCGCCTTTTGTTCGAGGCCTTCCAGAA